AACTGGTCGTAAGTGCGAATGGGTTACCAAACACCCAGGTCACAATCACATGACTACGGGGGTGCTGCAACTGCCATAACTTCGGGGACCAGTCATAAGTTCATTTTTTCAGCACCACTGTAACGTCAAACAGTCGCTGAACAAATGATCGTAACTCGAGGACTACCTGTACTCTCAATTTGAAAAATTCTTTGATTGAACAAGTTTCAAACTAAAAAAGTACCTGTCCAATATTTTAATCTGACCTTATGTCTCATAATAAGATAAAACGGGTATGATTGTTCCAGAGCGATGAGTACCCTATCCCTTACAACCTTACTAATGGCATTATAATATACTTTGATTAAACCATACATTTAACTGACTTTTGCTGAACACTTTCTGAAATTCTTTTGCACAAACCCAGTTGAAAAGAATGGAAGTTTTGCAAGAACTCAGTCTCAGACACACTTCTGCACTTCCCTCAAAAAAAGATTGAAAACTGTACTTGGCTTGATATTCATTCTCAATTCCATACTGAAATAGTTCTGTTAAAACATCATTCACAATTTTAAAATACAAATGTTTTAAAATTATCTACAATAACTTTCAGAAAATGTAATATCTTCCTCCAAGCATACCATATCTCTTTTTGGATTAAAAATGCAAAGCAATTATAATTGAGGTTAAGAGTTTTAGTTTTTATCTAAAACTAATGTTTTTATCTATTAAACATTATCCAATGTTTAGTTATTATCTATTATCTGTGTATTAGGGACTTAATAAATATTTAAAAGATAAATTTTACTACCTTACAACATATGTAAAACTTTAAAAGTGTGTTTTTAGTTTATAGTAATCCTATGGATAGTTCTCACACTCCCAGATGATGCCACTGTGCACATAAAATCCCCAGCCAATCAGATGCCCTCAGTGAGTCTGCAGAAGTAATTAAATAACATGATTTCAGATGTTTAATATTCTGCAGGCCAAGATCAGGAACCACCTCATTTCACATGCAGCTTCTATAGGAGAGACTTTGGAAAAATAGGAAAGAAAAGACAAATAATTTGAGGTGGAAAAGACCTGACTGCCTTTTTGAGTAGCAAATGTCATTGTGTCACCTGAATTCAGTATAGCTCCATGGCAAAGATCTTTCAAGTTAACATGGGTGGAAAGGCAGAAAATTTATAGCTATTTTGAGCACCTGTAATTACTGGCTTCCTCTAGTTTTTATAATTGATTGCTTGGAATAATAATAATAAAAAAGACTGAATCATTCATGCCAACAAAGGCAAGCCTAAGGGAAGCAAATGTTTTAATGGATAACAAGAAGATTTCTAGAATCCCACACAAGTGAAAGCCTGGATTGTATCTTCCATTTTGTGAACTTCCTTTTCATGCTGTGAAACTGTAGGTACAACTTCAAATGGCTTTTGGGGAGTGGGACAGACTGAGGAAGCAAGAACAATCTAGAAATTTATTTATTAATTACATTTCTACCTGCTGCAATTGTGAGACACTTGATAGCTTACAGCAATAAAAGCACAGAAAAAAATGAAACATGCATGGTAAAGTTTTTAAAAAGAATTATATAATCATGAAATCCTAACTACAGTCATCCATCGCCATAGGCATTCTGGAACAACTCCAGTTTCAATAGTTCTTGGAAGCCAATACTGTGAGGTCCAACCTCATGGGGCATAAGTTTTAAATGTTTTAAAACAATTTTGCCTTCCCTGTCTTTCTGGCGCCCCCCCCCCCCCCCGAGCAATCTGCCTCTCCCATAGAAATGCATTAGGGGATTTTTGTTTTCTCCACAGTTCCTGGCTGGATCTGACCCATTTTCAATCTCAGTCTTTCTTTTTGTTCCTGTGACAATCTGTTGTTGACAGCCACAGCCCCTTCATTTCTTTCCGACATTCCACTCGGTAGGGGGAAAAAAAAGAATAAACCCATTCCTACTTTCAGAACCAGCTGTAGTAATGTTACGGTTCAAAAACAGCTATTCTGCAATGTCCCTGACCCTCTTCATCAATGCATGAGGATAGGAACCTACACAGCAAAACATATCGATTCCCCCCCTTATAAAAAAGGAACACAATCTCTGCAAAATGAGAGGATTTGCACAGCACATTGAACCTTAACAAACCTCACAGTTTGCCCAACAATGTAAACTAAAACACGGTTTACCAATTTATTATTTCATTTGTTACACAAATACAAAATTAGAAAGCATAATTGCATTTAAAAAAAATCTTAGAAAATGTTGTGCAGATGAGGAAAAAAGGTGCCTTCCTCTTCTGTTTTAGTCACCTAACATTGTATGTTGACACATTTTATATTTTTAATTAAAAGAATACAGAAGACTCTTATTTGGGGTTTGCACACTAGCAACTAGGTTTCAACCTAGTATGTTATGTGAAGCCAGTCCATGTGGTTAGTTTATGGTTCAGTGCATGGTGTGAATCCAGATAATTTTGGTTTAGTGCGAAAACTATATGTATATGATTGCATGTATCATGCAATCACATAGTTAAAAACAAAACAAAGTACTTATATGATAATTTGCAAAAATAAACTGCATGTTTATATGTTCAAGTTATAAATCTGAAGTTGAACAACAGAGGCACATTGTGATGTGAACGTTAATTCTAGGAGAATGACAAAAAAAAAAAGGATGAGGGATTTGGATATGGTGGTGGAGGAGGAGGTAAGTATTTTTCCTTATATGAACTTCCGTACTGGAAATTTGGTTTGAGTTAATTGTTTAAAAACTGATCTCAGCAGTGATTTAAAATGGCCACCTTAGTCCAGAAAGGAGTCGATGAACTGTGTTTACGACAGTGAAGTGAGAAAGCAAAAATTATTTGGAAGCCTGTTTTTTTTTCTTCAGACTCCTCTAAGGATACAGTGCTTTCAGTCACTGTTTTCTGCACTTACTAATGTAATATGACTAATACAATTTTATTGGTTTATTAGCATTGCAAGATACAACATTCATTCATTCATTCATTCATTCATTCATTCATTCATTCATTCATTCATTCAGATTTGTAGCCAATTTTTCCTTCAAGGTCTTAAGGTAGCTAACATGGGGACCACCTTTCATTTTATTGCAATAGCAACCCTGTGAGGTAGGTTGGGCTGAGAGAATGTGACTGACCCAAAGTCACCCAGTAAGTTTCCAAGGGTGGACTTGAACCTGGGACCCCCCAGTCCAACATCTTAACCAGTGCTTCCTAGGAAGCTTCATTAATAAAGTAAACCAGAATCTTTCATGTTCTGACAAAGGAATGTAAATTCAGAACAGAAAGAAAACCAAGGCAGGAGGCAGATCAAGGAAAGGATACAATGGATTTTGTTCCATTAGTAAGTTAACTTAATTGCAGAGTAGTCACAGAAAATTGGAAAATGAGCTGAAACATTTAAAGTGAGCCAATGAGATATCTCAACACTGCCACCTTGTGATTATTTATCATGATTTTAGTTTTAGTTGTGTGGTCAGAAATTACTTTTCAAGAAAATACACCTGTTTTATATCTTCCATATAGGGATATAAATTGATTTATATTTCCTTCATATCTAGTCAAAATCACTTGTTTTGTGTATCGCAGTTATGAATAGTTCTTAAAAGAGAACTACTGTCTTTTCCTGAGATGCCACTTGAAATACCTGTCATGGTACCAAATTCAATCTAAGCCATTAAGTATTTTTTCTCTGGGTATGTCTGGTGGAAGATTATTTGGGCCAGTTTATTTCACTTTTTATATTCATTTGAGGGGTTACAAAATGCAGGAACACAGATTTTTGAGAGCTGAGATGGAAGGAATTCTAGGAGCCACAAATAAAGTTGGTTCCCTTTTGCACTGAAGGGAATTTTTCAAGATAGACATTGTAAAGAAAGTTAAACATGTAGAGTGAATGGAAGAAGGCATAAATAAAATAGCTTCTGACACTGTCCTGTTCTCCTTCTCTATTTTCTTTGTTAGATTGAGGGACATAAAACAAATCTTGGCAGGTAAGTCACATTTTTTTCAAAAGCTCCCCCAAATTTTAAATGAATTGACTTGTCTCATACTTTATGATGAAATCCAATCATAATGTAATCTTAGACAGAGAGGGCAAAATATAAATGCATTTATAATCACCGTTAAAAAGACCGGAAGCCACTTTTTTATAACTTCTCTTCTCTTCT